TTGAGTCAGGAACAAGCGGGTTTGCATCTGATTCATGTTTGTGACAGGCGGCAGGTGCTGCGCCTCTGTGGTTACATTTAACAGGAGATGTAACCTGTTAAAGCCTGAAACAGGAAATAATTCAAATTCATTTGAAGGTGTCGTATTTGCTGCTGTGCTTTTTCATTTATTGCTTAAAAATGTTTTGTGAATATTTTCTGGGGGAAACACTGCACTGCTGATAAACTAGATGTAAAGAGGTGCAATCACCGTCATTGATCATGTAATGTTGCCATGTGAGCTGATGCAGTAGCAGCGATGACACTGTGCAGTTGTTCTTTTCCATCATTTCTGTGCGTGAGCAAACAGTTTCCTCTTGTCCTCTTTGTCATTAATTTGAATCCGCTTCCCGTTATGGTAAACTGTGTTTGTGCGGCCAGACAGTACTCACCTCTTCCTCTTTCGTGCCCCACAGAATGGAGGCCCTGCTGAACGAGTGGCTGTGGCGGGAAGAGTTCTGGATCCCTCCTGGGAATCACTGGAAAGACATGGAGATGAAGGAAGGAGAGGGCTACTTCCCTCTACCCAGGCATCTCATCTACACCTTGCCACTAGCTCTGATCTTTATAGCCATCAGATATATCTTTGAGAGGTGAGGCCGAGCTCACGGCGAGCTCTGCTTTTTGGCTGTTGTCATTAAATAGGCTGAAATCAGCAGAGCAGTAAGTTATGTGGCGCGCAGTTTTGTCCTTTTCAGTTTTACCTAATTAGTTGAAGGAAGCAGTGTGATGCTGTTTGTGGGGGAAAAGTAATTTTCTGCTTGACTTGTTTTGGTCATGGTGGCTGGCTGGAGGGTGTTTGCTGCTAAGCTGCTGAGGAACGCCTCCTTTTCCCTTTGTTCATGTGCTACATGCTGTGTGAGAGTCCCGTCTCCCCCCAGGCTCCTTCCAGCCTTGTGTTAAAGTGTGTCCGAGTGTTTTTGAGGGAAAACACTCGGACATGGCGACTACAGAAGTTTATAGCTGAGGTTTTACGATGCATGGCTACTAATGCTGATTCTCTGTAAGCTGCCTCTGCAAGGTGTAGTCCACACCAACCAGTCAGTGACTGCTGTCGGGGTGATCGCACAGAAAGTCCTACTAGTGCTTATTAAATGTGTCCTCCCGGTGCTTCAAGAGGTTCCCTAGAAAAGGTCAGAATATTTCTGCTGTCACAGCTGAAGGGATTTGAATGTTATCTTCAGATACCTGACACTTCTTAAAAGACTGCGTTTGGTTTTCGAATATTTCAGTTAGAAGAAAGTAGATCTTCACTCCTCTTTATACGCATTTCATAGCGTTCTACCTTAACGTAACATTTGAACACTTTGGATGAATTAAAGAGAAATAATAATAATTCGAGGCTACAGTTAATCTGTGAGTGCATCTGGTCTGATGATGCTTTTGTCTCAGCGTCTCAAACACTTTCTTGGTTTTACAGGATTGAATGTTTCAGAATGTTAGTGGCACAAAATCAGACAGACGAGAGCTTTCACAGTATTCTGCCCATCACATTTATGCTTGTGAGCAAAGCTGCTTTAAAAGAAACGTCACAGTAAACCTGTTTGTACAGTTAACCAGTTCCTCTGGTAACAGGACAAGAATTTATTCGGGGCTGGCAGAGACGCGGCCCACATGACCACAGCTTGAACGCCTTTCCATTATCATCATCGTCAGCTGCTTTATTGTCTGTGAGAGCTGAAGATTAGCATCCTCGTCTGTGCCTTCATCAGCGATGTTTTAGCAGATTGGTAACATTAGCTGTGAGAGTAGTCCGGGGTCGGAGGATGATGGCGTGTGCTGTGTGCGAGTCGTAGAGGTCGTAGAGGTGGGCACCGTCATTTGTGCTCACGTAGACGTCGGCCAGCTGGAAGGTGTCTCCACGCAATCTTCTCAGGCCACAGCTGTGTGTGTGTGTGTGTGTGTGTGTGTGTGTGTGTGTGTGTGT